CCCCAAAACCCCAAAACCCCAAAACCCCAAAACCCCAAATCCCTTTGATAAGTTCAAGAATTTAGCTAAAAAGTATTTTTAGTGTAATTTTTAGGCTTTTTGACAGCGAATAGGCTTGTAGTTGGCTTCTGTTGAGACACGTTGGAGTACATGAATGGGTTAGCAGTATTGGAAAGAGGAACAGTAGGCTTAGTAGAGGAGGTATGAGAGAAGGGTGTTGTTATGAAGGGAGATCTGGATGAATCTTCAGTTCAAGAGTAGGAAATGAGATATTCAGGATAACTACGACCGTTATCATAAACGATGTGAATCCCGCTACTTCCAAGGATAGAGTCGTATTTTAGATTAGTTTCTGGATTTGTGGGAGGAATTTTTAGTGTCCTATCAGCCTTGCTTGAGTACATTTGGCCAGTTAATACTTTAGCTAAGAAAACTTGCTTGACATGATTATGAGGAGAGGGTAATTTATATGCATATTGGTTTGAATAATTCAGGCTTTCTGCAAAATACACTCCTCTTCCCCACATTCCATCATTAGAAAATCTCATATCAAAACCTTCTTCTGATGAAATCAACTGTACAGGATCTCAAGTGCGAGTTCCATGGAATAAATTCATTTCCAGTTTAGCTCCTTCATCATATTTCTGCTCCAACATATTCTTCTCCTTAATGTACTTGTGGTATGCAACCAAATTCTGAACTCTATCGATTTGGTAGACTTTTAAATCTCTAAGCCTAGAGTTATTTATTCTTTGAATCACATTCTTAGCCTCTTCTGACTTAAGATCTATTGAAACCATATTAAAAATGCTGGTTTTGTAGCTCAGATTTTCGATGTCTGTCCAGTGTTTAGGGTAATCAGTTATGACTTCTTTTAGAGGTTTAAACTTCAATTCCTTTTTAGTCAAATCAATCTTGCTATTAGGTAGAGTCCCTTCCTGACAAGTTCTTCTTATTTTTCGAATCATCCCTGTTTTAGTGTTCTTTTGAGCTCCAAAATTAGCATTTTTCGGATCAAATTCAATATGATAACACCCACTGATTTCGGAGTATATTAAAGGTGATGTAGGCAAATTCATTTTCTTTTTCTGCAGAAAGTCCTGATAAGCTCGTTCAGTAATTGTATTCATTGACTTTGAGTATGGGATGAAGTAGTTATAATCAGCTTCGAAGCTCCACCAATATATCTTCTTTTCAAGTATTCCTAACTTCTTTAGACTTTCTGCTTTTTTAATATCTTTCCTGATTTCTCCTAAGTAATACTGAAAGATACTCTCCCTTGAGTCATGATATGAGTTTACACTGACTATGAAGATGATTGACAAATCAGAGTCTTTCTTTTTAAACTTAATGTCTCCATAGGGGACTTCAACATCATCGAACAGGTCAATATTCAGGTCCTGCTCAATTATGCTCACCATCAATTGGTAATAGTATGGAGCAAAGACAACCTTCATTCAGTGAGGAAGGATTCTGATTGCTATAAACTTTGATTTCTCATCTTCAAGTTGTGAATCATCGGCTTCAGTAGGTTCTTGGTATTTGACTTCTTCTGAGCCATCTGTTTCTTCTATGTCTTCTAAAGATGTCATGGGAAAGTATGCATACTCTTGTAGCTTTTAAAGTCTTCAATGATCCTCTCTAAGAACAAGTCAAAGTTTGTTTGTGTTCCATAGACCTTAGAAGAGTGGATTAGCAGATCTTGTTCTTCAGTGTATATCTCAATCCTACTCTTTTTTTCAGATTTTGGAGATTGGGAGAGGAATGTGTTCATCTCCTCTGTAATATCTGGAGGATCAAATTCGTTTATATCTAAAGAGAATGATCTTGCAGGCTTCGAATAATTGGTATTAAAAACTTTCAGTTTAAAATCTTTCATTTAAAATATTTGGAAGAAATAAGACACCTCCTGTTTAGAACTTACCTTTCAGAGCATTATTTAGCTGAGTTGCGAATTTCTGAAGGGACTTATTGTTTCTATCTTTACATTGGATTACGATTGAGTCGTATGTAAATTCAGTAGAGTATTCTTCAACAAGTTTTCTCACTTGAACCCTAAATAAAAGGTTAACCTGTACAGCAACACATGGAAAGATACAATCAGTTTGCTCTCTTTGATATTTTAAGATCTGATTGTATTGAATAGAAAAAGAAAGGCATAAGAAATTGATCAGAAGCATGCAAGTATTGCTGGATATTAATTTCAGTAGCAAAATACTAATCCTTTCTTCTCAACTCCAATGTTACTCATAACCGGCCTTGTCTGTATCAAAGTCTTACTTCAACTTATGTTCTAGATAAATCTTTTGTGGGTCATTGACAGAAATGACATAAGGCTTAGTCTCTACAGACTCCATGTTAAAATATATATTATTAAAATGCAAAAATTTATGCTAACTTCTAATCTGCTCAAATTCAAAATTATGGGTGTGAATTTTCAACTTGGAAGAGACATGGAGGGGTTTTGGGGTTTTGGGGTTTTGGGGTTTTGGGG